CCAGAACACAAGAGTCAGTGAATAAATAGACAGAAAAACAAAACAAAATCTGTCTAATCAATTCAGTGAATGCTGCTAAATCATTTTATAATAACATTAAGTGTCTTCTATGTTCTGGCCACTTTTACAGTCATTAGCTTGAATTAGTAAAAACAACTTCCAAAGTACTGAATAAGAAATAAAAGAGAAATTGAGTTCTATCTAGGGTCACAGCGAGTAAAGGACAGAGCTGGAATTTAAACCCAGGTCTAGCTGATGTTGGCTTGCCCAGTGGCTCAGTGGTAAAGAATCTCCCTGCAATGCAGAAGCCGCAGGAGACAGTGGGTTTGATCCCTGGGTGGGGAAGATCCCCAGAAAGAGGGCATGGCCACCCACTCCATTATTCTTGCCTGGAGAATCCCATGGACAGAGGAGCCTGGTGGGCTACAGTCCATAGGGATGCAGAGTCGAACTCGGGTGAGGCCAGTTAGCTTGCACGCACTAGCTGACATCAGAGGGCCCAACTGCTCTCTTTCAAAGTCAAGTCTCTCAGTTCTCCAACCGAGGCAATCTGAGAGTCCTACAGGCCTTTAATTGTTGCCTAAAATACTTTTATTTTAGCCATAATATTAGCTGTTGTCATTCAGCTTCACAGTCCATGTCAGTCATCTGCTTCAAATCAGAGGATGTGAAAATGCCAGCAAGGAACAGCTAACAGCAAGGAGAGAAGACCGAAAATCACTGCCAGAAATCAACAGAAATCATTGAATTCTGCTGTCATCATCATCTATAATAATAATAATAAAGCTAAACAAGCGTTGCTGTTTAGTTAGGATAAATCAGAAATCTTGATAACTTCTGTTCCATCACCTGGAAGATAGGCAAAACAACAGTATAAACTTTATACAATTGATGTAAAACTAAATTAGATAATATAAGTAAAGTGCTTAATACTGTACCTGGCATAAATTAGTGCCCAATAAATATTGACTATTATTATGTTTTACAGTAAGTGAACTTAAAGGCTATATGACTTGAAGGTAGAAAAATATAATTCATGGGTATAAATTTTTCTATTTAGAAGTTAAAATGTTTTGCCCTTGGAAGATCTCAAGACTAACTTTTAGAAATTCACTTTTATAATAACCTTCCCCAGCTAAGTGGGGTAGATAAGGTTCATTATATTTTTATAGGGCAAATGTACAGGGCCACTCAAGAAATGACATTATACATTTTAAGTTAATTTTAAAATGTTGGGTATACCAATTGTGTTATTCGCTCTGCACTGATTATTATGATCATCTCTTAACCATTTCCTGGCTTTTGTTCATCCTACCACATCTCAGCAGATCCATTTAAAGAGCATACTCTGTGGCCTTTAATATTCATGAAGCATCTGCTGTAGAAGACTTGGGATAAAACAATAGCCCAGACTCCTTGCCCTTGAGGAGTCTGAAGACCACAAACAAGATAAAGAAGATCCTAGACACAGCATAAGTTATGGTTATAAACATTTTGTATTACTGTTAATCCTTACAACAAATCTAGGTTTTAGCTAGTATCTTTTTGTTGTTTTATAGATGAAAAACACAGGCACAGATAGTAAAAAAGGAATAAAAATGGAACAGCTAACTATCACCAAATAAGCTAGTGCTATAGACGGATTCACAGTATTTTGAAAACACAGGAGAGTAAATGAATAATTTTGCCTAAAGATGGGGCATTAGAAAATGCTTGTGTTTTCAATTTAAAACCCAAGTAAAAATTCTGTAACATATAAATACAGAAATAAAAAAGTAGCAGAGTGTTTATCAAAATATATACAGAAGCTATTTATGGATAAGATTTCAGGTGGTTTTACTTTTCTCTGCTTTTTTCTTAATCAACCTGCTCTACTTTAATATCTTAAAATATAAGTAGAACAAAAATGAGCTTAAAATTGTGCTAACGCTCATCGAGAAAACTGTCAAGATTTTAAAGTTAATAGTACATTCAAATATGGAATGAAATCAGCTCTCTTTGCTGCTGAGTGTACATATCAATCAGCTTTTCTGGAAAACTTTTTCGTCATCAAAGACCTTAAAGCTTATTCTCTTTGATCATTACTTCTACGAACTCATCCTAAGAACACAGATGAAGAAAAAAATTTTACTATGATGTTCAACTCAAGTATGATATTAAAATATTGTGTGTGTGTTCAGTTGCTCAGTACTGTCTGACTCTTTGCAACCCTATGAATTGTAGCCTACCAGGCTCCTCTCTCCATGGAATTTTCCAGGCAAGAATACTAGAGTGGGTTGCCATTTCCTACTCCAGGGAATCGTCCTGAACCAGGGATTGAACCTGAGTCTCTTGTGTCTCCTGGACTGGCATGTAGATTCTTTACCACTGTGCTACCTGGGATGCCCATTAAAATATAGGGAGTAACAAATACTGAAATAGGAGAATGATTAAGTAAAATATGTTCTTAGGAAGAAAATGTTTGAAATATTTTTAAGCTCATGAGAAAATCCTTAGTGCATGTTAAATGGGGATGGAAAGATGGAGCACCAAGCTCTATAAACAGTGTTAATACCAATTATATAAGAAAAAGAGACACCTTTTTAGAACCAAATCTCTGAGATGATTCCATTATATAGTTTAAATCTCACAATAATAGATGTATTTATTAACATGTATTAAGTTAAAGAGACCTTAATATTTGGTTCTTAGCCAACTTGAACGAAATACTCCAACTGGTTGGAACATTTGCTCTGCCATTATTAACTGTGAGACCTCTAGTAAGTTATTTAAACACAAGTTAGTTTGGTTTCCCCATCAGAAAAAAAAAAAGTACCAAAACACTTCTTCATAGGAGTGCAGTAAGCATCAGATGCATTAAAGTACATGCAGCACTTAGAACAGTGCTTGGCACAGTGTCACCTACTATTATCAATCTTAACCTACAATGACCAAGTGAGATCTATGCTGAGGCCTGAGTAATGAGCTGTGAACCAGGCAAAAGGTGAAAGGGACTACAGGAAGAATATTCCAGGCAAGCAGGAAGACCTTGGGATTTTTATTCCCTATCCACCTTTAGAGATTTGATAATTTATCTTAAAGACAGAATGCTTTGAATGTTCAGACATCTGCTTATGGGTTTTACTTGATGCTAGTTCACTGGGCATAAGAATTATCATGCATCTTTAAATTTTCAAACTATACTTATCAACATACAAACACACAATGACACACATTTTAAAGAACAAACTAAAAAACAGTATCACAGGAAGGCAGAACTGCCCAGTAGTTAAGGGATGACTTTCAAAGTCAGACTCAGGGGTTCAAACTCCCTTCTGCAATTTACTAGACAGATGTGTGACTTTGGGCAAGTTATTTAAACTTTCAGTCTCAGTTTCCCATCTGCACAATGAAAATAATAAAAACAAAGAATAAGCATGACATTGGCCTATCTGTGCACAATTGTTGTTCAGCTACCCAGTCGTGTATGACTCTTCAATAGCTATTATTATGTTAGCTATAAAAACCAAAGCAAAGTTAGAGAACTGATATCTCATCACAGATCTGAAAATTATCTTTATGCCATCAGATCCAAAATACAGTTGTTCAGTCGTGATATCCACTGAACACCTGGGGTCCAATTTGGCAGATATAATCCATGAAAACATAGCTTCAGAGAAGCCAGTAACATAAAATAGGATACTTTTATTAGCCCAGTAATTAAAACAAAAATGTAGTAAAAGGAAATGACTAATAAAAACTCCCATCAGCATACAAACATTCCAAGTTTCTGTTTCCTATCTTTTAATATTTTCCATTATAATAAACTAATTTCATTAGACTTTCGTTTTTAAAAGCAGTTTAAAAAAGTGGCCTCTTTTTTGTTGTTTTGTTTAAAAGTTCATTTTACTTTACATATAGTGTTTAAGTGCTTGTGTGATGCTGGAGGTAAAAATGTAGCTTACTTTGAAAGTAAAATGCATTCTTAAACTAAATAAAATACTCAAACATTTGAAATTACAGATACACAGTGAGTTATTAGACCATTCTAATTTTTAGGGTACCTTCAAGTAGACAGATTAAGGTAATTTAAAATCGGAATGCCAAACTGGAAGAAAACAGGTGAATAGAGAGGAAAGTCTGAAATAATCTTCCTGGGGTTATCAACAGTAAGACAACTTTACAAATACTTGGTGAAGCTATCCTTATATTCAAACAACAGATAACACCAAAATTGAGAAAGTGCTACTAAAATTGCATATGTGATTAAGTAAATGAAAGTCATAGCCTTATACCCTAAATATATTGACTTTAAAAAATATATAACACATTATATTCCTTGTGATTCTAATAAAGTCCAAAAACTTGTATGAGGCATATCACTGTTTTCCGTTTATAATATGCATTAGAGAAACTAAATGAGGAAATAAGAGAACTGATGAACTTTCTCAAATTTCTAAATATACTGAGCCCCAAGTATTTCTGCAACTATTCTAAGAGGATTAAAAAAAAAAAAAAAAAAAAAAACCTGAATCAACAAGCGTCTCATGGGCATGGGGATATTTCAACACAATCCTGCAACCAATAGGAAAACTTTCCCTAAATCTGGATTAGCATTTCATCCATTTATCCATCACAAACCAGGATTGTTAACGGTTACCCAAACGACAAGATACCCAGTTAGAGTAATCAGTCCTTGGAAGCTTTAGGCGGTTTTTAAGGACCTCAAGGGGGTAAGGACGAGGCAGTTAAGGGAAGAAAAGCAGGATTCATTTCTCCGAGTTATATCTGTAACACCTCTTTGTAGGGAGTTTAACGTGGGACCCGGTCCAGCTGAATGAGCGCAAGGCGAAAATGAGAATTCGTCTGGAGATTGAGGGGCTAGGGGTGCAGTCGGGATGGGAGCACAGAGGGGATTTCGCCACGGCCCGCCTGGGGGCGGCAGTTTGGCTGGACCGACGGATAATAAAAATCGAATGGCTGGGGCTGGGTCAGAGCGGTCGGATGCCGCCTCACCCCACAGGCGCTCCGGATCCGAGCTGCAGCAGACGGGCTGCGGGTCCGTGTCCATCCGGGGCGCCCGGGCCCGCCTCCATGTTCGGCCGGGAGTGGACCAGAGCCCTAGGCCTCGGGGTCGGGGTGACCGGCCTCATCTCGCCCGACATCCCCGGTGGGGCCGGCTCTACCCCCGCGGGGAGGATGCGCCGGGCTTTCCGCTCGACCCCGCCCGAGCCGCGGGAACGGCCGGGCCGCAGGGACTCGACCTCCCGGGACCCGGGCCTCCCGGGGCCTGGAGCTGAGCCGGCGCGGCCGCCCCGGGTCCCGGCCCCTCCGCCCAACGCTCGGGCGCGGCCTCCCAGCACGCAGCTCTCCCGTCGCCCGGCTCCCCCAGGAGGGCCACGGTCGGTGCGGTCCGCCCCTCCACCCCGTTCCCGAGGGACAAACCTGGGGGCCGTTACTCGGCAGGGCCGACCCGGCTACGGAGAGGCGCGCGGCGGCGGCGGGGCCCGCAGCGACAGTAGCCACCTCGGCCCTGCCCGCTCGGCCCTTCGCCCGCCCGCGGCCCCTGCGCCCCTTCCCCGGCCGGCCCCACGCGCACCCCACCCGCCACGCGCGCGCGCCCGGCTCTGTTGCTCAACCTACTTGCAGCCTCTCCTCAGCGGCCATCACCACATGCCCGGGAAGCCGGGGCCGCCCCAGGTCCCGCTGGCGGGCAGCCGCCTCTCCTTCAGCCCCAGGCCGCCGCTAGGGCGCCGGGCGAGCGGGAGGCTCCCCCATTGCCGCCCGCCCGCCCGCCGGCCACCCGCCGGCCACCCGCCGGGGCCCCGGCGCCCCGGCTCGGCCCGCCGTCCGCGCCGCCGCTCCGCGAGGAGGGCGAGCCAGTCTCTTCCGCGGCCGCTTTGCCCCTCGCCCGCCCGCCCGCCCGCAGCCGCAGCCGCAGCCGCTGCGCCGCCGCTTCCTCCTCCCCGTTCCTCTTTTTCCTTCTCCTCCTTCGTTTCGTCGGGAGCCGAGCTTGGCAAACCAGCACCTGCTGCTGGAGATCACCGAGAACTGAAACAGGAAACCCCAGCCCAGGGGAAAACCCGGGAGGCGTGGAGAGGGGTGAGGGGAGCTGCTGGAACCTGTCGGGCTCGGCCGGGCCCCTGCGGCCGCCCGAGGTTCCCGCGCCGCCTCGCCTCGCGCCCGGCCCGCGGGTCCCGACCTCCCCGCCCCGCTCCCCCCTGCCCGGGCCGGGCGGGCGCCCCTCGGCTCGGGTACGCCTCCTCCACCCGGCAATAGCACGGATCATTCCCTGGGCGGCCAAGGGAATCGCTGTCTTCCTTTCCTGGTGCTTGTTTGCTTATTATCAGTATTCCGTAATGGGGGGGGGGGGGGGGGGCGGGAACCACACCCGGCATTAGCAAGACCAATACGGGAATTTATTAATAAACAAATGAAGCTATTGGGATTTCACCCAGGGGAAGGACTTCTTGCAGTAAGGAAACTGGCCCTGTTGGAAGTGGCAACATGTCAAAATGGAGGCGAAAGCCAGGTTGAATCCAGATCTCTTTCCGGAGGTTGGGAGGAGACAGCAGAGGTGGGAGCTGCGAGTGTGACAGCTCTGAGCGCATCGGGCCTTTCTACTTCTGCGGAATGTCCGCCACCCAGCACAGCCTAGGCCAGCGTTTCCGCAGTGTTCAAATCGGCTCACTCACCTGCCTGTGCAATTGTCTCCAGACGCCTCATTCCCAGCCTTGGGCAGGAGGCATGTACTTTTAGAGGGAGAGGGAAAGGGCCGTCCCTGGATTGTGCCCCTCCCAGGGGTCACAGACCAGCCAGCTGCTTTAAGTGCCTTGTCTCGTTGAAGTGTTAACCACAGCCACCTGAGCTAGGTGTTATAACCCCCCTTTTCCTACAGAAACAGATTAGAAAAATTTCCCGAAATGACCCTTTTTGCAGAGGAGGGATCCAGGTCCGTCTTCATCGAAAGCACCTATTTGTTTCAGGGGACCTTGAATCACACTTTTGATCACACTATTCGCCTTTTAACAAAATTATTTCTTGCCTCTCTGAATTGTTTTCAGCAGGGGCATGCTTTCTTTAAGCCTGGGTTCTGCTGAAGCTGATTGGGCAGCTTAATGGTAGTGATATCTGTGATGCTTATTGGGGTTCACGCTTTCCACTTTCTCTATTTAAAAAAAAAAAAGCTGCCTTTATGGCTCAGTTGGTAGCACAGATGCCTCCACCTCTTTGGCCAGCATCTGTTACTCTTTAGCTATGGATGATACGGGGTCCCAGCTGAGAGTACCCTGCTGGCTGGTGTTCATGGCACAGTGACACTGCAAGATGAAAGGTGAACATCTCGCTGAGCTTGCTTTCCGCTACAGTAGGCCAAGTCTTGGGGCCTAGTAACTGAAATAGTAGACCAGTAGGCTTCTTTGGGGGCATATGTGAATTCTGTGGTCTACACTTTTAGTACCGCGTTTGGAAGTTTGGCAACCTGCTCTCTGCAGCCAGGTCAGTTTGAATTGGCAGTGAGGGAGGGATGCTCGGGAAAACATTCCATGTTTTCTGAGCCAAACCCTCAGAAGTCTCTTGAGCAGTATTAGGGAGTGGCAGGGACTTAGAAAGAGGCTGGCTTGCTGACAACAGTAAGTGACGGCATCTGTGACATGATTTTAGTGATGCCAGGAAGTTCCCCTACTCCACAATAATACCACCCACATAGTCTATCTTACTTCCCTCAATTGACTCAACTGAATTCCACTCAATATTGATTTAGCATGACTGTGTACTATATTAGGTACTTTGGAGGTGAGAGATAGAAGTATTAAAATAGACAACATTTAGTGAATGTTCAGTATGTTCCAGGCACTATTCTGAGCACTTTGCATATATTCGTTCACATAGCACCCACAAAACCCCTATGAGGGAATAACTATCACTGTTTCCATTTCACAAATGAGAAAACTGAGCCCAAGGTTAAGGTCAGTAAATAACAGTACAAAGATTAAAACACAGACAGTTTTAACTCTACAGTTCAGGACTCATTATGTGAATGATACAGTAACTACCCTTGGTTACCTTACTATGTAGTTGGGGGATAAAAACTTGAAAGTTAAAAGAAGACAAAAGAATTTTTAAGTGTTAAATATGTGTCATGGGTAATAAAGGCAATGAAGGTTCAGAAGACAGAGGAATCACTTTAGACTGGAATGGATGAAAAGATAGGGTTGCAAAAGGGGGAGATTTAAACTGGATAATGAAGATGGATAATACTTTGATAAGCAGATAGAATAAGGAAGGGCATATTAATGAAACAGCGTAAGCAAAAATAGAATGCCAGGGAAATCTGAAAAATAGGAATAAAAAAAGCTGGAAAGAAAAGTAGGACAAAATTACACAGAGATTTACAAATGAGAGAGGGAGAGAGAGAGAGAGATGGGGAGAGAGACAGAGAATTTGAGCTTGTGTTACCTTTATACACAGAGGAATCTGTGAAGGGTTTTGGACAGAAGGTAACATGGAGAACATTTCTAATTTAGTAAAATTGATATTGTGTTGGTTATTGGATGGTTTGGAAACGGGAAGAATTGACGCAGGGAAAGAAGTTTGAAGGTCAGGATGGGAGAATAGATGGGAATGAAGAAATCCTGAGGGAGGGAATGAAGGAACCAGTTAGGTGTTTGGGTGACAAAAATCACTGAGCCTTTGTAAATGACTGGATACACTTAATGGAGACTAACCTAAGAAAAAAGAGAAGTTCAAAATGACTTAGGAGTTTGAATATGAAACCTGTAATATCTCTGACTGGAAAAAAGGGAAGTCTGGGGACAGAGGAACTACTGTTTTGAGCAAATGTTTAGAGGAGTTTGGTTTTAGGCATGTGTTTGTGGTAATAGTGGGGATATGCTTGGGGAAGCGTTTCATAGCTTTATCTAGAAAAGGCAAAAAGTTGGGTTAATGAGGCTTTTATTTGCTACTGAGAGAATAAGTATGAACATTTTATATGGTCACAGTTATAACAACCAACCATGGTGTTCATCTTAAGCAAACCAGAGTTCAAAGAATATTTCAATCCTTTTGTAGCTCTGAGATAAATAAACTTTAGGGAATTCCTCTTCTCTTTACTCCAAGTTCTATTTACTTGAAAGGAAAATAAGATATATGGGAAAGAAATTTCATGGCTTCAGAGAATATCAGATTGAGGAAAGAAAACTTTAGAGATCATTGAACCTGACCACAATGTTCAGTTTGCAAATGGTGAAACTGAGGATCAAATTTTGAATGTCTGATGTTAAAACTTCAAAAACAGGCATCAGGCAAATATGGCACATTTGCTAATTATCAATGCTGGATAGCCCATTTGTATTTTATAAAAGCAGCCTGGACCTTGAATTGTGAGTTTGAATTGCATATAATTAAGACCTTGAGAGGCTATGGATCCATAATAGGCAAAGACTTGGGACATCTTCACTGATTAAAACCAAATACTTTGGAAAGAACAGGTTGGAGGCAGAAGGTGTGAGGAAGAATGGTTGCAACAGCAGGACTTCTTTAAAATGTAGCTCCCGGGCAGACTATCTCACACGGAGATTCATATTCGAACCTAAAAGACTGAGTCTCAGGAGCACATCTCACCTTACTCAGCTGCCTCATCATCCAGATGCCTAGTCACCTTGTTTAAGACCTCTAGGAGCCTCAAAAGTGATGGCCCATAGGTCACCTTCAGGTTCAGAACTGGTACACACCCCTGAAAACTACTTCTAGTTCTATCTGGAGCTTTACTAGTGGTGCCCTTAGGAATATTTTCATCCCCTACTACACGTGGGGATGAGGATTATTTTCTTTGTTCTCACATCTCCTGCTTTATCAGTTATGCCAAAACACTTACCTTAGTTGAAGTGATGTCACTAGACCGTTGGATGCATCTTCTTCTCCAGCATTTTGTCCAGCACTTGATTTCCTCTGATTGAAGAGCTTCATATATCCAGGTGACTACTGTGAATTTTCATTCACAGTTTCTTTTATGTCTTTCAGAGAAGTTCTGGTTAATTCCAACAACCCATGATATGTTACGCTTCCTTAGTATTATTACTGTAAACGGCCACTTCCC